AGGAAAGACTGGAAAAATAAATAAATAATTATCTGGGCATGCAAACTCTAAAACACTGAAATTACCGATATTTCCTAGTTTATCAAAAAGGAAAACTGAAAGAACCAAATAAAACAGAAATGATGCATTAAAATAAATATTTATTATGATTTTGAAATTGTGCAGTATATGTATGTTTCTAAAAATGTGAATGTTGTTTGCAATTATATAAATAAATATTATACAGTCTGAAGAGTTATATAGTTTCAAAAGTTTTAAGAAGAACTCAGTGTGTCCTGGAAAATGTACATGTTCATTTAATGACAGATAAAGCAAATAATGTCTTGAATCTCCATTTAACCTAATTGAATTGCTCAATTAAAGATTGATTAGAAGAGGTCATGAAATTAAGAAAATGAGTCTATTTCAACTATGACAACTGCTGTAGAAACTGAAGAGAATCAAGTACAAACTTATCTTAAGGATTTCTGTAAATCAGGCCATTGTAAAAGTAAACATATCTGTATGAGGCAGATTGCTTTTCCATTATGAGATACCTCCTACCCTGAAAAATCATTGAAGCCAGACCATCAGGAAGTAACTTTAGTTCACAGGATTTGAGAAAAGAAAAACATCAAATCTTCTCCTACACATATAAAATATCCCAATATTATAAATTATAAACAAAAAAAAATATTGTTAGGAATTTCTATTCTAATCTTGACAAGCTAAATTAGTTCATATAATATTTAGAATGGTCTTTGTAAAATCCTTGACCAATTTTACCAACTTCTTTATTATTTATTTATTTATTTATTTAGTTAGTTAGTTAGTTAGTTAGTTATCAAAGAACCATTAGCAGAAAGGAAGTTTTTAAATATGAAAATAGACATAATAATTAAGTATGTAAAAGGAAGGTTTGTATTGCTACTTTTACTTTGGTAACCTAACCTACTGATTATCTATCACCCAAAAGTTAGCTGGCAACCCAATAGGTTTTTCTTCTTTAGTGAATATTAAAGTATTTTCTATGATGTTTATTATAATTTTAGAAAATAGAATGACAGTTCTGTTGCTATATTCCAGCAACCAAACGTCAGTAGTTCAATGTTTAAATGTTTTTAATTTAAAAAAACAACAATGGATTTTGTTTCTCTGTCTAGGTAGGACAGGAACATTGGAAAATGTTTTGTCAAATAGTAAATGCCACCTCTCAAGTCTTTTTGATAGCTTCCACAAAGCTAGTATGCATCTCATAACTCTCACCTACACTCTGTCATGCTTTATTTCTCACTTCCATTTTTTTACTTTTGTGATGAAGATGGTTAGACTTCATTGGAAAATGGAGAAAGCAATTAATTATAATCAAATAGCCAAAGTTTGGCTTGAAGTCCAGGAAAGTTTAGTCTGGTATATATGATATCTACACTTGATAAGCTGAAATAATTCGAAATGATTTAAAACATCCAAAAATTTTTATCTGATACATGTTTTGCATTCAAAGCAAAAAAAAAATATTAATTATTAAGTATTAATAATTAAGTATTAATTATTTTAAGGAGAAGGTATTCTATTTCCCTAATGTATATTTAAAAATGCTTCTATACCATTACACCATTAGTTTATGTACCGAATATTATATGTTCTTAATAGAAACCAACTTATTTTAGTGTATCTACAGCAATCATTATCTATAATGTGTCTAAAATTGCATGTTTAATGTTCTACATCTACACAAACACCATTTTCCTTTTCCTCAGTAATAGAGGTGGAACTTAGACAGAGTTGCCTAACAAGGAATGGCATTCCTCTGCCTTTTCAGAGCTAAGCGTGCACATTTGCCTGCATTTTCTGGATAAAAACTGAGCTGATATCAAATTTGCAACTTTCACTTCATTTGGATCAGAAAGTCTCCAGATGTGGACTTCTGCCCATTTTCCATTTCCATGGACTGAATTGGCAGTGCTTAAAGTTATTTTGAAACAGAAGGCTAAACATAGAAGGCACAAAATTAGCCTAAGGCCCTGGAAGACTACCTGGAAGAAGATCATACAGAAGAGCCACCATCAACTGACACACTCATTTTAGACTGTCACATGAGCCCAATGTACTTCTTTCTTTGTTCTTTAAACCACTGAAATTTAATAGTGTCTTTTTACGGCAGCCTAACCTAACCTAACTAATCATTTTATTCTGAGATTTAAAGATTTAATGACTGGCCATTTCAAAAATAAGATGATAATTGGGTCAAGGGAGAGGTTTAGGTTAAGAATCTAGTTCAAAATTCTAAAATAAATGAATATTTAGAACCTCTCTTTAATACTTAGTCATACATTTAAAACTATGCTTTTCCTAAGGAACCCAAAAAGTCAGTATTGAAATTAAGACATTCCTGAGTTCTAAATACCAAACCTCAGCTCACAATGCTATTTATCTTGTATAACTGCCTTTAATGTGTAACTCATGAGCATTTCCCCCACACACCGTACACAAAACAGAAATCTTACATTATAAATCTGTGTTCCCTAAAATTTGATCACATGAAGCAAAAGTTTTTATACCTGACACAAATTTGTTGGAGAGGTCAACTGTTACCTCTATCCTTTTAGGGGTTTTTGGCTAGACTTAATTATTAAACTAACATCAGACTAATTATCAGGAGACAGCATACATAGTTATATAAAGTTTACATGTCCCTGGAACCCTTACAAGGAGATGCAGACCCAAAGGAATGACAGAACCTACAGGCTTTCATATTATGTTGAACAGAGAGAGAGCTAAAGGGAGATGAGAATTAAGATAGCCTGTTTGTATCGAATTCTCTTGGCATTGACTACCTGTTAAAGAATTCTTTTTTCTCTTTATGCAGGATGGGCATCTTTCACATTGGAGTTTTTATCTTCTGTTTCCAGGAAGAAAAGGGGTGATTTGAATGCTCTTCTTGCACTTGTTGTTTTTTAAGTGCTTTTAACGCAAATAATCCTTACACCAAGTACCATAATTATGTGTGGTATATTATGATATTCTTCAACTCTAACACAAAGGACCATCCCTAATAATTGAAGATGAATAACAGAGTTTGGCATCTCTGGAGGTTATGTGAACCTAGTTGAGGTAGGAAATGAATTTGAAAAAATAAGAGAGAGAAGGAGATATGAAGTTTGCAACAACCAATCCTCTATTTTTTTCTTTTATTTTCTGTTAAGAAAAGAGACTGTGTTAGCCATCACAGCAATCTGAAATAGTGTATTTTGCCAAAGCTAGTAGGTGAATATATAAAATATATATGCATAAAAGTATTCTACCATGAATGCTGTTTTAAAAATGACAAACTGTGAAATATTGCAGTATAATGAGAAAAGTTTCTAAAATGGTTATATCATTAGTTGCTTTATACTAATAAAATGTTGACACACTGTGTTAGTAGAAATAGTACTAGCTAACATGGTAGATAAGCCCCTAAATTTCTTGCTCACAAAGCAGTTCATTGAGGGCATTCTTACTTAGGTAGCTATTCTCCAAGCTATGATTCGGATGCCTAATCTCCTTTTATATCGTATTTTTATAATAGTTAACATATGGCTCCCAAGTTTCCGATTTTTTTTTTTTTTACCATTTCACACATCCAACAGAGGAAAAGATTAAGTCAGACCAGGAAATGATGCAGACCATATTGTTCCACATGGTATTGGCCAGAATTCAGTCACATGGCTCCATCTAGCAAGTGAGGTTAGGAAATGTAGTCTAACTGTATGCTCAGGAGTAAGAGGAAACCAGTTAGGAGGCCCGGGAATTCTCTGCTATGTACTTCGCTAAAAATCTTTGAAAGCATGATCATTGATAAATGATAAAGAGATGATTGATGAAGAAGATAATCATCAGCTTTAGTTTCCTTTTTCATAGTTCATTCCATGTTTTAGGTCGAATTTAAGCCTACATACACATTTAGATTCAGTTATTCACATTTATTCAAAAAGTAGTGAGTTCTGCCAATACTTAATATGACTTTTTTATTATCCAAATTTCTGGGTGCCTTATAAAAGACAAAACAATCCTGTCCATTATCCAAATACTACTGAATCCATTATGGCAATTCTATTGATTCATAATGTAGGATTTTCTTCAAAAACTGCAGTATGCAACGAGATCACCAAATTGCTTTTATGCGTTAGAATAAGAAATGAAGTGAGACAATCAGAGCACTATTTGCAATTGTTAGAAATGATCCTTTGGAAGGTCAAAAATTCTTCCCTATGTGCTCAAATGACTGCTATTAA